AAAGCTGTCAGCCAATATATTCAAATGTCAACCAGAAACAATAACAAGTGGACATCTTTGTCAGTTTTGCTACATTGTCAATTATCTAATGATATTTTTTTGGATTGACTTGTCAATGTTGATGAAACATTATTACACCACTAGTTTTTTTTTATTCAACCCCAATCGAGATCATAGATTCCACAACCCTGTACTGCAGTTAATTGTAAACACCATAATATTTTCAATGGTTGTATAGTATGTGCCCTTTGCACTAACCAGCCAATGATTACACCACATTGCATTCTGATCATTGATCTCATAGGTGTACACCAAAAGATGGGGAAGGGCCTGTTGCATGCTCATAACGTAACATGGTGAAAGATAAATGTCACGTCAAGAAATAAGGGCACCTGCCCTGTTTTCCCATATTATATTTAGATGCTTTTTTCAGGGATTCACCTGCTCATCCCAGTGGGTAGGTAAGGTGATACTTGGAACAACTTCCTGACGTGATGCTTCCCTGACCACTACAATCTTCCCCTTACTTATCCTGATATGGTGGATGGCAATATAATATGGAGGCTTCAGAACAGCTTAACAAACACATCCATCTTCCACCAAAGGCAGACCGGAACTCTCTCCAATCCCAAACATGACTGTTAATATAGCCCCCACCACTCGGATATACTCTATTTCCAGTTTTGTTGATCTCTGAAAATCCTTTTACTTCTCATTTCCCTTCAGTTAAAGTATATGTTGCTTAGAAGCCTGAACTTCAAAAGGAAACATCCACTGGTCTATCAAAAAGAGACACTTGAGGTCAGGATAAAATCACTTCATCCCTTTCTACCTAGGCATCCATAGTAACACATAAATTTGAATTCAAAGTTGTTCTGGTTAAAAACTACGGCTAGCGAGTTCAGTCTACTCTATTATTTAAACCATAGTTGGGGGCAGAAGAAATGGATTCATACCTTCTTAAAGGTATTTCCACAAAAGTGAATGGAACAAATTCAGCCTGAATTTGAACACTTTTTGATGAGTTCCCTTTTCAAGCTGCTAACCATTACACCACCCACAGACCTCTACAATCTAGAAGTCAATGAATAGTCCATGCAATGATAGCACTCAGATTCTCAATAGTCAAATATATTTTGATGGTTGATGATCTTGAGAAGCAAAGAGAAACAAAGAGACAGATTCATACATTTCCCAACAGTATTGCATATAAGTGAATGCAATGAACTCTGCTGGAATTTGAACTTGGCTCTCTGATTTCTCATTCTGACCCACTATCAATTGAACCACTCGCACATCCACAATATACAGGTTGCAATAGGTAAATTGTTGCTATTTTAAATTTTACACATGAATGTTGTTTGTTTTTGATTTTGTTGACTGCACAGTATAGCAGGGTCAGTTGGGCACTGTCTGTGAGAAAAAGAGCACCATGACACAATTCATACTTCCAAGAATTTAGAAATGGCATACTGTACTGCTTGGCATTCATGCTGGAAGCTCAAAAACAAAGATTTCACAGTGTTTCTGTGTCAATCTGAGGACAGTCTAGAGGATGCTGTCTCCCCACAAGATGTACAATGGCTCAATAAAAGTAACTTCAATATCTACTCCTCATTTTGTAACAATTTCTACATATTTGTCTATATTTCTGAGATGAGGTATTATGTACATTATTTACATTATTCTGACTATTGTCCCCATCTTTGTCGCAAAATTTTTTACAAGAACACAGTGGACAAAGGCATTGGTTAGATCCAGTGACAGAACCCAAAGAGTGTGAGTTCAATACCCGGTTAAGGCAGTGGAGAACTTTCAGAGGGAAAACTAACAGGAGATAACTGATAACTGACATCCATTAAACATGGCATGTGGAACTAGAACAGTCTACTCCAGTGAGCAAAATAAAGGGTTCAGTTCGACATTCCAACCACCTGAAGAAGGCAGGAGCGTACAACAGCCGAAACGCTGTAATAAATATGGCAACAAAGATGGGGACAATAGTCCGAATAATGTAAATAATGTCCACATATTTGTCTGTTCATTTGCTTTTGTATATATATATATATATATGAACATAATAAAATAGACAGCATATATTTTATATTACAAAGAGTTAATGATACCTTGAATCAATTAGCAATATTAATGCAATTATTGGCGAAATCCCTTCGCTAGTAGACATAATTATAAGCATTATACTACTAATAATCCACTGAATGATGAGAACTTTATGTATAAAATGGATATGGTGCATTTTTTAATTCAGCTAGTACTTTCAAATACTTCACACATTCATCTTCAGGCTATATTTTTTTCCTTTAGAATCAAAACTGGAAGACGAAATATGTTTTTACGACCGAAAGATGTTTTTAAGAATGAGCTATTTATTAACGGTTATGTAGTGTTGAAGCATGCAGGTCACAATGCTAAAGTTCAAATATTTCAAGAGAGAATTTTTATGAATTTTGTAATTTGTAATATAAAATATATATATATATATATATATATGACTATGTCATATAGAGACATAAATTTTCATTTATGTGTGTTCTGTTATATTTTTAGAAATTACATATTGCACTATACAGCCCTTATGTATAAATTGCATACTTATAGAGAGAGAAACAGAGAGAGAAGGAAAAGCAAAAAGAAACTGCACATTGACATTGCAAAACTTGTCAATAGCTTCAATGATTCGTCAACATTTAAATTATTAAATTCACACAAACAATCACAAAGTAATATATTTATTTTAAAAAATGATGGTATCAAACAGGCTATGATAACCCAGCATGCTGCTAAGGACATGCATTTTGTTATGCAGATGACTTGCAGCAACTATCATGTGTCGATTGCACAATCCTTTTAGAAGCAGCAATGTCTGTTGAGGGTTCGATCTAACATCTCTTAAAAAATGTAAAAGTCGTATCTGTATATATGAACTTGCATGATATACTCATGTCAAATTGTGAAAGGTTATGCAATCATTGTGATATCTCTAGTGACTTCACATCAGTTTATCAGAATGTAAGCGATCATGGTTCTCCACAGCTTTGACCTCACACCAGTGCTTGCAGTTTCTGCAAAAATCAAGACAATCACAAAAATTTCCCTATTGATGTAAAAAAAAAAAAATGTATAGAAGATACTGATCTCTGGATTCCTTCAAAGTAGGCTTCTTTTTGATTTCCAACAAAAAGACATGCATATAAAACAAGGTATCAAAAATACTCAGGTCCGATGCAGAACATGGAGTTTTCTCCCTATGATTTGTTAACAGTATTAGATGTTCAACATGATGAATTTTGTGGGGTTTTTTTTTCAGATCTGATTAAATTCTGCGAAAGTGAATCACTTGTCTCTACTATTAATTTATTAACTTTTGGCTACTCACTCTATCATACGTTGAATAATAAATCATTTCCGTTCTTTGTTTATCAACTTTATTCTTCTTACACTATTTACATCGTTCAAACTGTTGTCCTCATCTTTATTGCCCTATTCACGACAAAGTTTTCTTCCATGACTTGCCAGCAGTATTAGATGCTCAACATGATGAATTTTGTGGGGTTTTTTTCAGATCTGATTAAATTCTGCGAAAGTGAATCACTTGCCTCTACTATTAATTTATTAACTTTTGGCTGCTCACTCAATCATAGGTTGAGTAATAAATCATTTCCGTTTTTTGTTTATCAACTTTATTCTTCTTACACTATTTACATTGTTCAGACTGTTGTCCTCATCTTTATTGACCTATTCACAACATTTCGACCATTATATTCTCCAGCTTTCTTCAGGTGATATACGTTGGAATTTCAAACCAAACATTTATTTAGTTCACTGGGGTAGGTTGTTTTAATTCTACATGCTATGCCTTTTTGAATACCTCAGTATCAGTTAATTCCCTTTAGTAACTCAACTCTCCAAGTTGTTGTCCCCTCTTTTCATTAATGACCTTCCCAATGACATCACCTCTCAACTTGGTATCTACACTGATGACAAAAACATTTACTCCTGCCTCAGCAGTAAGACTGATCAGATCAAAATGGCAGCTGATATCCAAAATGACCTCAAGTCCATCATTAAATGGATCAAAATATAGCTTGTTAATTTTAATGCCTCCAAAACTAATCTTCTCTCCATTAATCATCTGAGAGACCCATAAGGTTGCCTTCCTGTGTCTTTTTTATAAATACTTTCATGGTTATTGGTTGAATAAATTCTTTGCTATAGTACCTAGGCCTTTTGAATTTAAGCACAGTACTAGACTGGTATCAAGATCTCATCAGTTCAGCTGGGTAGATGTAGCCATAAGTTTTATGCTAATAGTTACTTTTCTCACACTTCTCACATGTAGAACTCACTTAATGGCATGTAGAACTAGAAAAATCTACCCCGGTGGGCAAAATAAAGAGTTCAGTTTGAAATTCCAATCACCTGCAGAAGGCTGGAACATCAGTCAGTCAGATATGTGCCATAAGTGATACATGCTTAGGTGATCATGTATCTTTTGATACATTTCCTGCAGTAGGTTGCCATTTCTTTCTGCAGTAGACCAGTTGCCATCCAAGGCTATAAAACCCAGTCTGTCCTTCTATTTACCCATAGCTGGTGGGAGAATAAAAGGATTCATACCTTTCCCAAGGGTATTAGCACGTAAGTGAATGTAATGGATTCAAATGGAATTCAAACTCAGCTCTCCAATTCCTCAATTTGAACCACTATCCATTACTCCACCATACAATGGCTGAAACCTTGTGGCAATGAAGATGAGGATAACAGTTCAAATAATGTAAATAATCATAATACCTCATCTCAGAGATATAAACAGAAACTTTATTCTAATTTAATATAAATCTTAAACAATATATCTTTTAGCTTCCAACTCAGTGCTCTAACCATTAAGCCTTCACTATATGTATATGTTATCACATAATCATACACAAAATAAGCTCAAGTTATATGATTATGATTTTCTGTTTGCTTTTCTTTTTCAGATAACTGGTTAGCAAAAAGTAATGGAGACTATGTTCTCTGTGGAAATGCGACAGGGGCAGGGTAAGTTAGAGTTCTTTTCTCATTATTCTAATTTCCTTTGTGTATTTGGATCAGATCAGGATATTCCAGAAGAGAAATAGTCAAAATGTCATTGCTTTGCCCTTTTCAGTTTGTGTATGCATGTGATTTTTCTTACATTTCTAGATTAAGTGCCTTGTTAACCTGTATGCTTTGTCTCTATACAAATGAATGAATACAGCACAGCAGTTTCCTGATTTTGGTATTAAGAAAGAAAAGACAAAATGCAAGATAGATATTAATATCATATATAAATTGCAGATTTCTAAAATATTCTGATCACTAGACAGTATAGTGATGGGCTCACCTCTTGGACCTATTCTATCAAACTTCTACATACAGATTTATAAAATGTTCTGTTTGCTAGAGGTAAGGATGGAAAAAAATGTGCTGCACTTGTATCCTAAGTGGAGATGGCTTTCCTAGTGATGAATTAAAGCTGACTAAAAATTCCACACCGAAAATCCCGGCTTTCACATTGGTTTAAACACCAGGAAAGATATTATTTCAGCCAATACGTAGGTGATAACTATATGAATAACAGGTTTTGAGGATGAAAAGAATGAATGAAAATGTTGCATGATAGAAAGAAAATTGTACAAATGGGGAGAAAGAGAGACAACCTATCTAGATCCATTGATTAGAGAGAAAGAATCAGATGGATGAATAGGTGCAAAAAGAAAGAGAAGCTATCTAGATACATGGAATAGAGAGAAAGACAGACAACTGGATTGATGGGTGGAAAGAGAAAGAGGGAAAGAGAGACTATCTCAATAACAGGAATCCAGAGAAAGGTAAAAAGAAAGATGGATGAATGAAGTGAAGGTGAGAGAGACATAGAGATTAAGATAAAAAGGAATGGGGAGAATGAGAGAAAATCTATTGAGATAGATGGAACAGTGGAAGAAATATGGGCAAAGGGAGGAGAACAAAAGACAACATATCTAGATACATTGATAAGAGAGAAAGAAAGATGGATGCACAATCGGACAGATGGATAAAGAGAAAGAGAGAAAGAATATCTAGATAACAGGAATAGAGAGAAAGGTAGAAAAATTGATGGATGAATGTAGAGAGATAGGGGGAGATTATCTATGTAGTTGGAATAGAGAGAGATGTAGAAAAAGAATGGCTAGAGAGAAACAGTTGAGGTAGGTTGAATAGTGGAAGAAAAATGAACAAATGGGGAGAAAGAGTGACAACCTATCTACATAGAAAGAAAGAAAGAAAGAAAGAAAGAAGCTATCCAGATACATGGAATAGTGAGAAAGATAGATAGATGGATGGAATAGTAAGAAGAAAGAGAAAGTATCTAGATAGCATAGAGAGAAAGTTAGTTGGATGGATGAATGGAGAGAGAGTGAAGAGAAATTAAGATTATCTAGGGAAGTGAAATTGAGAGATTGACTGGTTGACTTAATTTCCACAGTTTATCAACCCACTGGGGTTTATTCCAAGATGAAACATATTTTTAGATTGAGGGAGGTTACTTACAGAAGAGAGAAAGATAGAAAGATGAATGGACTGATGGAGAGAGAAAGGAGACAGTTGAAATAGAGAAAAATGTTGAAAAATAAAAAGAAAGAAAGAAAGAAAGAAAGTGGAGAGACTATCTAGAAGGATGAAATAGTGAAAAAGTTAAAAAGAAGGATAGAGGGAGAAATAGAAAGAGAACCAATTGAGAAAGGTGGAATAGTTTTATGATCCTTGTACCACGGTGATGGTCCAAGGTAGAACCAATAAAGAAGAACTTAAACACAGATATGGAATAACACAGATATATTACAAACAGGAATATATACAGAGAAGTAGAAAATGTTAGTACAAACAATCAGGTTTAGTAGTTTAGAACAATGTAGTCTCGACCAGTATCACTATTCCAATGTCTTGTAGTAATTGTCTGAACGCGACTCTGTTTCGGACTGCCTCTGATGACTCTTGACTCGACTGACTCGCTCGCTCTGACTGACAGACTCCTGATGGACTTCTGAGGGACCTCACTCCAGACTTCAGACTGAACAGTATTTAGTCACCCCCCCCATGAGGGTATTATGTGGTACAAGGCCGGTTTAACATGGGATCACTGAGCCTGTGGGCTTGGCCAAAAATATGCCCTTTGAACCCATATAAACGGGTTCAGGGTTGGTTTACCCCCCCGAAAGAGACCGCCCTTCGGCATAGCCTCGTTCAGGTTCCTCCCCGCCCGAAGGCAGAGAGTTCAACTGATCAGCTGGTCATCCGACTTCAGACTGAACTCTCTGCTTCCTCTTGAGGCGCAGTATTTATTACGTATGGAATAGTCCATTATGTTATTATGGGTAAGGTGCCCTAACAAATAGAAAGAAAGAGAAATGAATGGATGGATGGGGAGAGAAAGAGAACTTATGATAGCAACATAGAAAACTAAGAAAAGTAAAAGATAGATGAATAGAAAGGAAACAAATACAAAAGGAATGATGCAACAAAAGAAAATTATTAATTTATCATAAATGTTTGGAGATAAAGTAACTTCCAAGAGTTTTCCATTTTTTTTTCTTTTACCATAACATGTTAGTGGATCAATTCTTCAGTTTTCTCCTGGTCTACAACTGATGAGGAATGAGAAAACTAAAGGAAGCAACTTTTATTAACCTGACAGACAGGTGTGAAAATCAAGCCAGTATGGATTTCACTCAGGGATTTGATTTCTTTGCTCTGCAGAAAAATAATTGGACAGCATTTCTGCATAATAAAAAAAAAATGGAATCACCTGTGCTATACAAGTTGCTAAGAATGGAGTTGTTTGTGCTGCTAGTAATGAACTGAGCTGATCAATAGATTGGCTACTATTTTTTTTTTTTTCTGATCACCATCATTTTCTGAAGAAAAGAGAACCCTTTTTTTTGTTCCTTACTAGGCAGACACCTGAAGATAGCTGGAGAATGAGACATGTTATGCAACAAAAATAACATTCAGAATGAGTTCATTAGTATAAACTATTGGAATGATAATAACTATTTTCAAAATTGTATAAGTTTCGTGTTACGTCCATCAATCTAAAGAGGTCAGGGATCAGCAGGTGGGGAGTTCTTTGTTGTTTGTTTAATTCACTTGATGGGAGTATTTAGTTTAATATTCAGGAAGTATTGAACAAAATACTATTTTATTTAACAATGTTTTTTTATTAATGTTCTCCTAATACAAGGCCCAAGAGCCACTCAGAGAGTTACCGTGTGGTGTTGTATGAACATATGAAAAAGCAAGAAGTGCAGTTCATGAGGTTATGTAGGAAAGATAACGGTTAACCCGGGACTTTAAAAGTCAAAAACATTTTTTAACAGATGAACTCAAAATGCATTTCAGAGGTTGAGACACAATGTATTAGGATTTTTTCTTTTAAACAATAAGAAAAAACATTTTTTCTCCACCTGTAGCAAAACACGTAACTCACACAACTGAAGAACCTCAGTCACTGTGCATTTTTATGTGCCAGTGCATCCCTATGAGTGACCCGGGCTTGCTGGAATATGGATGATATTATCACATCACCATCTCTTGAATGGTTGTCAACCAAGGCTTAGAACCTGGTCTCTCCTGCTAATTAACCCATAGCTGGGGAGGTGAAAGAGATGGATTCTTACCTTTCCCAAGGGTATTTGTACATAAGTGAATGTAACAAACTTGGCTGGAATTTGAACTCAGCTCTCCAATTTCTCATTCCAAGCCACAATCTATTACACCACCAGCACATCCACCACAAACAATAAGGAAACATTATTTTTTAATGGATCAACTCAAAATGCATTTTGGAGACTAAGGAGCAAAGTAATCAGGCATTTTCTTTTGAACCATAAGGACATATATATATATATATATATATATATATAGATAGATAGATAGATAGATAGATAGATAGATAGATAGATAGATAGATTCAAAACGCCAGGTGTAGATATGCAATAGAAGATAGATGGAAATTGTTAGCCTGTGAGAGCAGTCCACCAAATAGAAGGAAAACTCTGATTTCAAACTGCTACTGTTTTGCAGCCATACTCATTTATAGGAAAGGCTTTGAGAGTCTAGAGCCAGAGTCTAACAAGCAGTCCAGTGTTGAATCCGACCTTGTTCTAACAACTCATCTGAGCAAGTAATGCCAGCAGTACCAGTCCCTCCTTGGCCAACATCAGTGGCATGGTGCAAGGAGATGTTCTGCATGGGCAACTGCTGATTTCACCACACACTAAAAAAGCTTCCCAGGAGATAAGATTTCAGCATCACCTCACTTGCATTTGGTTGGTAGAGAAGGTTATTTAGTAAATATATAGTATTTATGAAAGGCAAAATAGGAAGATACTGAAGAAGTTATCTCCCCTTGATATCTCAAAATTTTTTATCTTCCTCTTTGTTATCCTTTCCATGGGACAATAGATATGTTGCTGTGTTTGAAAGACCAAAATCAGAAATATATTTTTTTTTATTAATGTTCTCCTAATACAAGGCCCAAGAGCCACTCAGAGAGTTACTGTGTGGTGTTGTATGAACATATGAAAAAGCAAGAAGTGCAGTTCATGAGGTTATGTAGGAAAGATAACGGTTAACCCGGGACTTTAAAAGTCAACATTGTAGTGACCGAGAAAAAATCCTTCTGGGATTCAGTTCCACAAAGAAACCAATTCTGTAATTCTTTATACAAAACTGAATTTTTGAATTCTCAATTTTTTCATTGCTCAATGAAAATGGTGATTGTAAACAATATATTACTCATGAGAATATATGAAATGTCACTGGAAATACCTTCAGCATCCAATGTTGAAGATAGATAGATAGATAGATAGATAGAGAGAGAGAGAGAGAGAGAGAGAGAGAGAGAGAGAGAGATGAACAGGATGAGATAGATAGATAGATAGATAGATAGATAGATAGATACTGAAAGAGATAGTAGTAAAAAGATTAAGATTTATGTACATTATTAATTTTCTATTATAATATCTGATGAACTTTCCTCTA